TATCTATCTATCTATCTATCTATCTATCTATCTATCTATCTATCTATCTATCTATCTATCTATCTATCTATTATCTCTCTGTCTGTCTGTCTTCTATCGTCTATCTATTCTCTCTCTCTATCTATCATCTATGTATCATCTATCTATCAAGCATTTCTCTCTCTCTCTTTTCCATATATGTATGTATGCCATTTTTTGTTTGAATTTGGCGCTGGCTTTCTGGTTTATTTGAATGGTTTTTTTCCTCATCTTTTTTGGCTGGGAGTCTAGGTCTGTTTTTATTGGTCTTCGAGGTGCTGTGTTTGGTTGGCAACATAGTGTTTTGTGTATTGGGGTTTCTTAGTGCAGCTCGATTTCTTGTGAATGGCCGATAATTATTTATTAAGAAGCTAGGTTTTATTTGGGTACCTGGCTGGGGCATGTTTGGGCTGGAGGTATTGGGGGGGGGGGGGAGTTGTTTGTGTCCAGATGTTTGCCTGGATTGTGGTATAGAGATTTTTTTTGTTTGTGAGTGCAGGCTTCCAGATGATTGATAGTCTGGTGGAGTCATCTCTTCTATTCATACTATTAGGTCTTTTATCAATTTCTATGGCTTCTCTGATGATTCTGTAGCTGGGGTTTTCTATAGTGGCTAGGGTTTTGGTGTCACTGAAGTCAATGCTATGACCTGTGGCTTTCATATGTTGGGCTAGTGAGGAAGTGTGTTCCAGCTTTTTTTACTGCATTCTTGTGTTCATCTAGGCGGGTACTTATTCTTCTATTGGTCTGTCCGATGTATGCGGCAGGGTGTGATACACAGGGGGCTTCGTATATGCCTTGGTTTTCCAGGTCAATTTTATCTTTGGGGTTTCTTAGGATGGCTGCTATTTTTCTGTCTGTTTTGAAGGCAATCTTGATGTGATGCCTGCGTAGTATTTTGCTGATTTTGTCTGTTGTTCCTCTTATGTAGGGCAGGACAGCTGTTCCATAGGTTTGTTCATCTTCTAGGTCTCCATTATGTCTCAGTGTGTTTTTGTGGATCAGGCCTGTGATTTTGCTTTTGTGGAAGCCGTTAGCTGTCAGTATTTTGGTCAGGGTGCATAGTTCAGTCTACACACACACACACACACACACACACACACACACACACACAGAGAGTATATAAAGTTTTATTTTTCTTCCAATAGAAAACACCTGTATTTCCCTATTCCCCAAGTCAGGATAAAGAAGATACTGAAAGTACTCTTATCAGTTTATTTGTCTCGAAGTAGGTCTGTCTGTTCTATCCATTTTCATGTTTCTTATGTTTCCTAGTGCATCTTAATCAATCAATCTCTCCTGAAATGAATCAATGGAACTATCTTTAAGATAGGGAAGTGGTAAAATCAATTTGATTTTTTTTCTTCTCCCTGTTTCTAGTTAGTTAATCTTTGAAACTCTGATTTTTAATTTACTTAGTGTAACTTTTAAAGAGGTTCGCACAAGTGAAAGACTGAGCATTTGTAGCCAAGGTAAGTACCTTTGGGTATTTTGCACATATGTGTACACACACACACACACACACACACAGTGAGAAATGCACAAACCTGTGTTCACTTCTCTCTGAATTCATTTTTTACACTTCAGTTGTGCTTTGTCGTACACCATTCATTAAGGATCAAATGGGAACAAGGCTCGCTTTTCTGTATTAAGTTGCAGGTTATATATAGATTTTGAAACCAATAATAAGTATGTGCAAGGACCTGTCATAAGTCATAAGTTTTTTTCAATGCTGTTCTAACTTGAAATGGCCACTAAGTGATGAGAAGCACCCAACTGACAAGGAGGAGGGATCGAGTGTGGAACTAGCCTTGAGTCAGTGTGTAACCACAAAAATTCTAGAATCGACCCTCCTTAAATTCCTTGGAGGCTTATCTAATTGTTCCCAAGAGCAGGTTGCTAGTCTCGGCAGATTCCTGTATTATATGTAAAACATAGAACATAGAATAACAGAGTTGGAAGGGATCTTGGAAGTAATCTAGTCCAACCTCCTGTTCGAATAGGAGACCCTGTACCATTGGAGACAAATGACTGTCCAGTCTCTTCTTGAACACGTCCAGTGATGAAGCACCGACAACTTTTGGAGGGAAGTTGATCCACTGGTTAATTGTTATCACTATTAGGGCATTTGTCCTTAGTTCTAGGTTGGTCCACTCCTTGATGAGTTTCCATCCATTGTTTCTTATCTGGCCTTCTTGTGCTTTGGAGAATAGATTGATTTCTTCTTTGTGGCAGCCCCTTAGATATTAGAACACTGCTATCATGTCTTCCCTACTCTTTTTTTTTCACTAGACTAAGGTAAAGGTAAAAGTGCCCTTGCACATATGTGCTAGTTGTTTCTGACTCTAGGGGATGGTGATCATCTCTGTTACAAAGCCAAAGAGCCAGCGCTGTCTGAAGATATCTCCGTGGTCATGTGGCTGGCATGACTAAACAACGAAGGCGCATGGAATGCTGTTCCCTTTTCACCAAAGGGGTCTCTATTTTCCTACTTGCATTTTTACATGCTTTCAAACTGCTAGGTTGGCAGAAGCTGGAGCAAGTAACGGGAGCTCACTCCGTTGTGCAGTGCTAGGGATTCGAACCACAGACCTTTCTGATCGACAAGCTCATGTCTTAGCCCCTGAGCCACCGCGTCTTTTTCACTAGACTAGACATACTCAATTCCTGTAACCTCTTTTCATAGATTTTTAGCCACCAGCTGTCTTATCATCCTAGTTGAGCTGTGGTGATTAGAATGTGATTAGAATGCAGTACTGCAGGCTATTTCTGCCGACTGCCAGCTGATTGCATTTTGGCAGTTTGATTCTCACCAGCTCCAGGTTGACTCAGCCTTCCATCCTTCCGAGGTGAGTGAAATGAGAACCCAGATTATTGGGGGTAATATTCTGACTCCGTAAACTGCTTAGAGATGGCTGTAAAGCACTGTGAAGTGGAATATAAGTGCTGTTGCTACTTCTCTGCATTATTTCCAGAGTCTCAACATCTTTCTTTTAATATTGTGTTGACCAAAACTGGATACAGTATATATAAAAAGGTATTTATTTATTTATTTATTTATTTATTTATTTATTTATTTATTTATTTATTTATTTA